TATAGTAAGCGCCATGATTTTTTACACGAGTGTTAAACAACAGTTAGCGTCATAAATCCACCGTGGCCCAGGGGTTTGCACGCTCGCTTAGGAAGCGAGAGGTCTGGAGTTCAAATCCCAGTTAAGGCAGCTCAATTTTTTTCAAATTGTTTAAGTCAAATAAACATTGGATCGAATATCAGTGTTGCAATAAGTCTTATAGCCAATCTACTACAATTAAAACGCTGGAAAGCATTGGCGGCACTATACAAAAACAAATTGTTTTATACTCTCAAAGCCTTCACCTTTCTGACATTCTGAGACCCAAACAAATTCAGCGCCTTTTGTGCTTTGATTTAAGCTGCTGTTATAATTCAGCTTTAAAGATGAATATCATTACATATGTATACGCCGATGTGGTGTTATTCTGATCTGTTCGAAAAAACATTATTTCACAGTCGTTGTAATATTGATATGTTTTGCATTGACACCGTTATTGTGTGAAATGATGCGTGCAGACATTTTATTTCTATTTATGTATGTTGACTATGTTAATCGGCATGTAAGACAGTATGTATTAATTCCATTTTGTTCATGCAGACACATATAAATATGTATAAGCGTTCTATAAAATCTTTACAACCAACTTACTTCCGTTCCAGCTAACGTGTAGCCGGCTTCTTTACATTGCTGTTTACAGTTGTCGCCAGTATTAGACTGACTGTTTGGCATTTGTCTTGTCAAGATTCGGTCCGGTTTGTCGATATAGCATCCGATGAAGCCAGACGGTAAGTTGACTTAATCATAAATAAGTAACATCATTAACATTTACATGTATATAAATCAAACGATTATTTGTTTTTACAAAACCATTTAAAAATTAGAACCGCCATTTTTCACAGCAGCGCCAGCCATAAGTAGAATATAGTAAAAATTCAAAACAGATTAAAAATAATTAAATATCATAAATTCGTCTATGTATTAAAATCAATAATGTTATTTGCGTATTTTCGTTCAATCATTCAATATAAGTGTTACTCACGACCGGTATCATATATAGATATATACCATGTCCCTCCGCACACTAGTCATGTGTAGTAAAATGTAAACAAGTAGTATTTTGACTTTTATACATAGTATGTATGTATTCTAGACTAAATGTGGATCCATCCGCCCTTTTAGGCAATGAGAGTACAGACACCGGTCACCATTCATGTCCCTTAATGTAACTATCTACCAAAAGGTGACTTATAAACTAAATTCAATACTTCACTGAATGATACTAAATATGTTTGCAAGTCGACTTTTGTGATGTTTACTGTTTTGATGCATGGGATGCCAATCAGATCAATTTATGCATACATGGAGAATAATAAGGCGGTGTTTCCAAAATAAATGATCAGATCTTTCGGGCGAGCTTGACTAAGTAACTGTAAACTCTGACTGGTACCTGATATATTTTTTCCCTACAAATTACTAGTTCACTATATTTATACAATTGACAACATAACGAAATCAGCAAAATGTACGTATATGATAAATAAATGTACTTTTTAGAAAATGTAACAAGACACCCAAAATAAAAAGCTTTTGAGTAACAAAACTGATAGCAGGTATAATGGGCCTATTACTAATACATATTGCCAAAACACAAAGGAAGTAAACGATCGCTTAGTTAAATGCCAATAAGCAATATTTTTGAAACTGTAACATGGCATCATAAATAAAAGGCTTTTGAGAAATATTAGCATTTTTGAGGATAAGGTGAGCTTGAAATAAATATATTATATGCAGTTCTGTGACAAAATGTGTATAAGTGCATGCACGCCAAATACGTACGCACGTTGATTTAAAACAGGAACAGAACATCTATAAATGTACTGTCAAAATTTCAACAAGATGGCTTTTTTGCATGTCTCAATGTTAGTGAATGTGAACATTAAAAATTATCAGGACGGAGAAAATAAAATGACGTTATAAGCACCAACGATTCTAATTTAAACAACCATATAATATTGTTTGCTGACTTTAGAAAGTATTGTGCTTCTTGAGTAAAGATGTAGTTTACTCTCAATCAGATTCAGTATGGTAGAAGTAAGTATTGGTCTATAATTATAAGTTTTTTTTTTTATTTTGCACCTTTGTATATTGTATTCTTTAACTTCTTGTTTAATAGTCTCTCCTGATGGATGAATAAATTAAGAAGGCGTAAAAATGTTCACTCGAGGTTTAATATTATCAAAAAAGAATAGAAATAAAAGAATATTCGTCCCTTTTGTTCTTATCATTACAAGAAATATAATGATAATTTAGAAAATGTTGTAAAGCTGATATTATTTGGCCCTGTGTACATGAATATTGCAAAAACGAGTTAATGATTAATATTTGTTTCTTTTATAATACTAGACTAAGTGTTTAAGTTAATCGAAAGTACACACAAATTATTCAAGATTCGCGAAACCCCGGCGAAATATTTAAAATATAAATGCAGGTAGGGTTGAATAAAATATAAATGCAGGTAGGGTTGAATCTGTATCAATCTATATTGTTTCTAGAATTTGTTAATATTTTTGGTTTTTATTTACACTACTAATATTTGTTTTGAAATTAAGTTTGCACAAGATTTATGTTCAAACCCTTTTATTAGCCAGCCACAGTTTTTTTCGGTGGTTTCTTCAAAAAATAATCGCAATTAAGTGAAATATCCTCTATTGCATTGACTTCATTCACTTTAAATATTTTTCTCTATTTTTTTAAACTGTTAAAATTTACTTGACATTATCATATTTTCAAGTTTAAAAATGTTACTTACCTTTGTCACACGGTTCTGTTATGGTTTTATCTTCTATGATCTTCTCAAGTGACTTGATCAAATCCGTCGCATTGAGCAGCATTTTACTGAGATTATGTTCAACAAGTACGAGTTGTTTTGAATACTGATTTTTCTTACATTCAGCAAAATTTGCTATGATGATAACAACAATAAAACAGCTTAAAAGGAATGATTTCTGTTTTGCCATTTTTAACTGATTATGAGACTGTCAATCTCTTTAATTGGAATGCCTGCTTTTCTAAGTATTGACTATATATATACTGATATGATATGTTTACGGTGTCCCAGTAGGGACATCGTTGAATATTACACCGGCAGCATTATTGCTTTATAAAAAGTAGCAATAACATTTACATGGTGATGGAAAATGTCTTTTATATGCAATTATAGTATACATGTACAAAGTAAGTATAACTTTACGATAGTTATTGAAATATGATAAAAAAAATGATTATACATAGGGCGGATGCAATTTCCCCAAATAAGTCATGCATCGATTGGAGGTGTTACCATTAAAGGATGATATGACCATGTTCCAGATTGCTGTTTGAATTAGTCCATACTAGCAAGGTATTCTAACGCAGACTTCATAGCATAAAATTATATTGTAAATCTAAAATTCTGAAAAAGCCGTAGATAAAAATTTGAAATAACATATATACACAACAGTTCTTTTTTAAGGTCAGGAACTGCTGATAGTAAAGGATGATTAGATTAATTCAGATTTCAAAATTAATGAATTCTTGATTCTTTGATTATTATGATTAATGAAATGGAAAGTTTTCACGTGTTTTTTTTTTCATAAAGTTTATGTAGCATTTATAATATGTATTCTACAGGCATTATTTGCATAGACATACATAGTATGTTAACGCATCTCATTTGAATCTTTATCTAATCTGTTAGTATGGCGGCTGATTTGTGTCATGTAGTAATTGCACTCCGCGGGGCGCCTGGCGAAAACACGAAATAATAAGACTGAGAGGTGACTTTCCATTTTATTTAGTTCCGCCTATTGTTTTCTTGTTCAGGGCACACTCATTATTTTACTTGGGGACCATATGCCGCTTATTATTGAAAGGCACTTACGTGTCACATTGAAGGTTCCATGATAACCGCCATATGAACATATCTGCGGATGTTTCAAAATTCAAAATTGTACCAGTTCATATTTTCAATTTTGCCGTGTTGGGCTTTCTTTAGGGATTCTTATTTTCTCTATTTTATCTTCGCCATGTGCTCTGCGGAGCGGAAGTACGACATGGTACAAATCAGTACCATAGGTTCGAGTAGATTTTATTCATAAAACTAAATGCAATTCACTAGTTTTATTGTAGCAACAAGACGTACAAGGCGACTATCAATAGTCCAGTAAGCAAAGAAATACAATATATCGAAATGTCGAAAAGCTGTATACCACATTCATTCGCATCCCCTATCTCTCCTATAGACATAATTGCTCAAATGAGTGCTTAAATATAGTAAGCTTTAATTATTTTTTTGGCGACTACAGGCAAAAATAGGTGATAATCCGTGAACTAATAATCGTGTCCTGTAATAACAACAAATCCGCCTTAGGAATTAATTGTAATCATTATTCAAAGTATGATAGGGTAATATGCTTAGACATGCTAAGACGTATTATTCCAAAATATAGCTAGTACAAATGTTAATCTGTGTTAGTTTTACATGTTTTTAATAATATGATTGGAAATACGTAATGATAAAGTGTATGCTAATCAAATCTGTTTAATGGTATGAACAAATCTGTTAATGGTATGAACAAGTGCGTGACTTTTGGAACAGGAAGATAGGCTAAAAATTGTTTTCTCATTTTAACCACGATATCAATTGAAAAAGAGTTATATTTAATTTTCTCTTCGATATCTTTTAATAAATCAAGGGCTAATGACATTGTTTTGTATTTATGTATCACACTGTCTAGCTTAAGGTTACAAGACTGACCGTAACTAAATATATATTTAAATATGCGTCGACGGTAAGTAAAGAATTCCTTTTTTTACAAATTACTTTTTTTTCAAAAAACCCAATATAAAGGTGATTTGCTGACTAAAAAAGAAGAAAATATAGTGAATAAAAACTTGCTACAAAGATGTTCCAGATAATGTACATGCCAGTTCACTGAGGGGTTCCCGCGAATGAGGTCAAACGAGGTTTCGCGTAATTCCTAAATGTCATGGTCGTCATCAGCTGTTGTAATTGATGTTTTACAATACAATATGCAATTTAATTGACAATATTATATTTTAATAATTAAAAATGGTTTAGATCGATTTTAAATGATATTTATATCGTATAATGGCAATGAATTGAGTTGGAAAGGGATATTAAATTGAAACAAGGGTTTGCCAACGTGTCTTATTCTGGTTAGGTTTTACTTTTCAAATTGATCTAAAACTTTAATGCAGCATCAGTTGTAAGAATAAATGTTAAAAAGATACTTCCAAAGGTAGTAAATACTAAGAAGCCAGAACTAATGACAGTTGTGCCTCAGTAAACACACGAAGATTAGTAAGACTTTTGTTACAAGTTGTAACAGATTGTATGTGCAAGATAATCCGATGAAATGATAAAGCTTTGTAAATGTCAGACACTGAATTATGCAAACGTTTGGAAATTAAAGCACACTTAACATAATTGCATTTGCATAAGGTATGTAACAGGTTTAAATGAGAAAGGTGGTGCGCTTTCCTCTGCTTAAGATATTATAATATTTTAATTGTTACAATTGCCGATTTCATAGAACAAGACGGAGATAGTGTATAGTGGAACAACTGGCTGATTTAACTACTAAATATTTTACGAGAATAAGTACACGTAGTATATTTCATGAAGTCCACGACATCAATTGTGATAACCAAATCATCAAAATATATAGAATCATTTAAAGGCCATTCTAAGCAAAGACATATATTGGAACAATTTTTTTAAATATCAGTTATTTAACAATAATATTGTATTTTCATGTTCCTTTTTTATGGTAAAACAAATTTTCATTTAAAGTAAATGCCTAAGGCGCGTACGCAAGGGCGTGGTAGAACAGTGGAAAACTATCGGAATTGAAACAGGTCATAACAGAAATGGATGAATACGTAGATGTATACGTAATAACCGGTATGTGATATCTATGAAACAAAGATATGTACGCTACTTAGTGATGTCTGTTAGACAGAGATATGTGAATAATTTGACTGCTTGTTTAAGATATTTTTTCTGTGATAATTGCTGTGATTATAGATACATACGAGTAGGAAACTAAATACAAAATGAACTGCATAAAACTGTATTAAAGCTCATATTGCAGTACTTTGATCTATATTTAAAGTTTAAGCTATGAATTTTTAGCAGTTTACATAACTTATTTAGCATTTTTACATAACTTCTTCATGCTTTGTGATTCTCTTCTGAACATAATGGCTAAAATTACTGTTATGTTGAAAATTATAATACCGCGCGCATGCGCTAAATACATCTAGATCAATCCTCAAGTTGTCAGTAACTGTTGCAAATTTGGCAATATCATAGCATTATCACATTTAACGAACCAAAGTGAGCTATGATAGTTTTTCACCCTTCCTGGTTTTTCTATGTTTAAAATATACTGTTTTAAAATAACAAAACGGACTATTCTTGATCAATTCAAGTGTGATTTAAAAAAAAGCTGAATTACGGATACAGACAAATCACATAAATCATAGAAATCAATGTATATATTCATGTTCAGGACTGGTACAGTTTCGACAAATCTTGTTTCATTGTTTTATGTCATTACGTTACAATTAAATCGTAGATTTAAAGGTCTATATTTGTACCGAATGATAAACTTTATTCCTAACTCTAAGATACTGTTATAAGTCAATAAATACGACCTATCAAATAGTGTGCATGTTCACACAATAAAGTGTCCGGTAATGTCACGTAAATAGATTATCATTCTACAAAGTAAAGTAACCAGAGTTTAAAGGGACATGTAAACTTATAACAATCCTTTACTAGTATACAAATATGAAAAAAGAAACATACACGTTTCCCTTTTTTTTATCTCCCTGCGTAGTGAACTTTATCTCGTCACAATATCCTTTGATGATACAGTTTGTTTCCATTGAGTGGTATTGTTAATTTTACGAAAACAGAAAGTAGCTTAAATACTGTGAACAGTTTCTGACTGAAGGCTTATAGTATAATGTAATACACAAACAAATTTTGGCACTAATGTAAACATCACATAATAAAATAGTAGTTATGAAACATATAAATAACATTCATACATGTCCGTCTATGTGTTATAATGTAAACTTGATTTAAACCATGTTACAGACAATGCATATGTATATGAAATAGAGAAAAAAGAATCCCTAAAGAACGTCCAAAACGACAAAATTGAAAATGTTACAGGCTCGGTTTGATTAAGCATGTTCATGAATGGTACTGGAAAATGCAAGTTACCTTCCACGCGCTCTAGCATCGGCTTAAGCAGAATTCAACATTTAAACACGCAAATGGTGGAATTTTGAAGTTAGAAACATCCGCAGATGTGTTCATACGGCGATTATCATCGAACCATTCTATGAAAAGCGACGTTTTGTCCCCAATTAAAAGAATGTGTCCAAAAACGAGAAAACAATGGGCGGAACTAAAAATAATGTAATTTTGAAAGCGGATCAATGATTATGAAGCCTTGCATATCACAGATTAGACGTCAAAAGACAAATTAAAAGGCAGGCAAATATTCATTTAGGAATATTGAAACCACTCATCAAGAAAAAGGGTCAATAGAAGATACTAAACAATATTAACATGCACACATAACAATAATGTTGTGCTGAGACTAATCCTTTCAAGAGAAGATTTTACGCTATTATTACTTAATGTCTAGTGTTTAAATTATTTTCTGAAAATTGAAATACAGATTGTGTAAACATTATGTCAATAATGATTATAATTAAGTTAAATAATTGAATCCAATTCAAACTACGGTATTGTTATCAAAGTTTGACTTTACACGATAATATACATCGGTATTAGTTATTTATTTTTGATATGCCCGAACTTCTTAAAAATATAAAAAAGTACAAATAAAGTAAATCAACTACTAGTAGTTTTTGCAATAAATATTGATAAAGCAATAAAAACGTGTGATAACAATGAATATAAAATCAATTTACAACAACTATAACTAAGTAACTCATAAAACGCCATGATGACATTCTTAGCATAAATTTACCAGATTATTACATATTGTTGAGTACAAAACCGAATCTTAATGGACGAGTACATAGCTGTCAAAACTATATTGGACGGAAAGTCGAGACTGATACAGGTTTTGCAGCTCTGTACGAATTCAATTGAATCATTATTGTTCTCAACCATTTTCAATGACCTCTTTATTCCACACCATCATTTTTTGATATTTTATTATAAATTTATACCTCAGTTACAAAAAGGATTAAATATGGATTTTTACTCTCAAAAAATGAAAAGGAAACTAGACAGCGACCTTTTGGACTCTGGAAAAAAACGTTAAATTGAATCCAATTATGTTTTCTACTGGAACAGTTGTTGTAAATGCTGACAGTGCAATTGTTAGATTTAATAAGGTGTATCAATAATTATTTCTATGTTGCATTGTCCATTGAGCATTTTGTGTTACCATTTCTTTGAAGTGTTGACATCTGAGAATAAGGGTTTGCTAAGCCAGCATTTTGCTTCCTCCACTACTTTGTCCCAATCAAAAGCTTGACCGTCAACAAGGCCGTGATACATGTCGTTAAACGGATTTGCAGGGTCCATTATATAGGGCATTTCACTGTAAAAAAATGTGAGATACTTATTTAGGTTCCTTTGGTCTAAAACTGTGTCCTCAAACTACTTAATCTGCCTGAACGTAAATAATAAGAGGCTATTGTTTCGTTTGTGTGAAATATGGAATATATTTTCACGCAACATGATAAAATGTCACATATTTTCACAAGCCGGGACGGCGAGTGAAAATATGTTGCATGTTATCATGTTTCGTGAAAATATATACAAAATTTCACAAAAAACGAAAAAATAACCTTTTTATTTAATTCAATTATCAAAGAAAAATGTTTATGAATACCCTTGCTTGCCACACAACTGCAATTGCACAGCGCACAGTAATATATTGATTCTTTGCTTTGACTGTTTTTGCACGCGCCAAACAAGTTCTACATATAGTAATAGTTGGCTAGACTCCGGCTCTATATATGCTAACCTTGCTGCGAATACTATTTAGTAATATACTATATATCACAGCTTATTATCTATAAATGATGCACTTGATAACATTGGGGTTTTAAGTTGCTAAATACTATTAAGCTCATTTGGCAATTTTCCAACT